TAAAGTCACGTAGGTAGAAAAATAAAATAAAATAAAAATTACAAAATAATCCAGCAGTGCCACTGCTGGAAAATGTTTTCCGCCTGAGGACGACCACTGGTGTTGCGATCGAAACGTCGTGAAATATGATTTCTTTACTTATTTTATTTCTACCTACGTGACTTTACCGAAAGAACCAAAGAGCATGGATCCCTGCAGTCACGAAAGCTTCAAATCAAGATTGAGTCAAGCATCTCGTGCGCAGGAGCTCTGTGGATGGCTGCGTCGCGAGGAACACACCATGACAGTAAACCATTCCCATTCGCGGGGGGAGGGGGGGGATACGTTCCTTGAGGACGGAGCGAATAGTCAATCGGCGAATATTAATACTCAAAGCTCATGAGGAGAATCGCGTTTGGGGTCATACAGATTTATTATGTTTAAGCATATGTAGGGCTGTTACAGAGGGGCTGTTTGTGTAGGGCTGTTTGCATAGGAGCTAACGGATAACAAACACAGTGGGCGGGGACTCCGCGAGTACACGGGATGGTGCCCGCAACGACGTCCGCACCGGACGGCGTGAGGGGGGTTGTGATCCTCTAGGGGGGTATAAAAAGGGATGAGCCAGAGAGCTCGGGGTTCAGTCTTAGAGTAATTAGGGGAAGACGGAAGACCGACCAGATAGGCCCTGGACTCCCCCTGGGACGCCGCCCTTATCAGGGCAGCGCAGGCTGGAGCCAGTGGCGTGGTCCCGTGAACCAGAGTCAGTACTCTGGGACTCCGGGTACCGTAGCCCGACTGACCAGTGTCGGGCCAGACAGCCTCCCCTAGCCCGTTAGTGGAGGACTCGGGGTAGGAAGGATAGCTAGAGGTGTATCCCCAGTTATACGGGTGAGGGGGCCGATACACCCCTCCAGTGCTGTACGACCATTGTGTAAATAAACACGTGTGCCTTACTACGGTGTCCAAGCGTCTTCAAGAGTACTTCACATATAAACTGTATGTATATATTAATCAATACATATGTTGTATAGTACTGTGTTATTTTACTTACCTTCATAAGGATGTCATAAACATATTCAAAAGTGAAAATGTCAATTAATAGATAAATAAATATTACATGGTGTTATTTAAACTTATCTGTAATAATGCAACTCTTGCTTCTTGCTTGGGGGCTATGGGTAACGCTAACACAGTACACCATTCCAGAAAATGTATAATTAAAGTTAATTTGTCGCAAATACGCAAAACCTTGATTGTAAAACCCGCGAACGTTAAGGGTTTATGTATCGCATTTTGTTCTTTTCTGGTTTAAGATGATGGTGTTGCCAAGAAAACTATCCATCAACATGTATAAAGTTTCATATTTTACTTCCGATTGTTTGGTTCCGGAAACCAAATGGGCACGGAGAGAAGGTCAAGGTTTTCCCCTCGCTTTATGCCGATTTGGTTTGTACGATTTAACGCTATATATGCGGCCTAACTATTTATACCAAAATTTTGCTATCCGCGGTTTGAATTCACTCTACATGTGGCTATGCGGTCGGACTTGGGACAACGTTGTGTGTATACTCTGTGTACTGTGTGTGTACTGTGTGTGTGTACTCTGTGTACTGTGTGTACTGTGTGTGTACTGTGTGTATACTGTGTATACTCTGTGTATACTGTGTACTGTGTGTGTACTCTGTGTACTGTGTGTACTGTGTGTATACTCTGTGTACTGTGTGTGTACTGTGTGTATACTCTGTGTACTGTGTGTGTACTGTGTGTATACTCTGTGTACTGTGTGTGTACTGTGTGTGTGTACTCTGTGTACTGTGTGTGTACTGTGTGTATATTCTTTGTACTGTGTGTGTATTGTGTGTGCACTGCGTGTGTACTCTGTGTACTGTGTGTGTACTGTGTGTGTACTGTGTGTGTACTGTGTGTGTATTGTGTGTGTACTGTGTGTGTACACTCTGTGTACTGTGTGTGCTGTACGCGCTTATTGTCTCCTCGTGCAGTTTAGCTTTGTCGCACCCATTTATTCGGAAAGCATCTACTACTACTACCGTGTAGAGTGAGGAGAAACTTGTATATTAAAGTTTTACAAAAATTGTAATGGCAGTAAGTGTTGCTATTAATGCGACGCGATTACCCCACGCACTTTGTTGGCAAGATTACGGCCGGACGCCACATCTCCGTTGAACACAAACTGGAGCCACCTTGCAGCTCAAGGCGATTTCCCTAGGGCAGCGGTTTCCCAACCTGTGGTCCCACAGACCCCTGGTGAAACTAGTCATCCCTCACCAGGGAAATGTACAATTTCAATTAACTACTCGTAGCATGTGGTGGTTCGCAAAAATTTGGGAGATTGAAAAGGGGTCCGCACACTAAAAACAACTCTATTATTTTTAATCTCTAGCAGGTAAGGCCCACTGAGCTATTTAGCTCTTTTTCTGAAGCGACCTGGCCACAAATGATAGCTCAACAAAGTGGCTGATACGTGGAAATTCATAGCAGCCAAATACACAATGTTTCTAAACGTGGAGGGAAAAACTGGAGGACCGGGAGAAAAATCCACGCGACCACAGGGAGAGAGACATGCAAACTCCAAATATACAGGTGTTAGGGTCGAAATTGAACCCACGATCTCCTGCATACCAGGCGAGGTAATTCACATCTCGCCAGCGCGGCGCCCTTCTCGCCATCGTGAAAAGGTTGGGAACGACCTCTCCACGGCACTGTAAATAACTAAGCACATGCACAGTGGCGGATGAACATTTCCACATTGTTTCGTTTCCAACGACATGAACTCGACGGTGATGTCAGTTCGATAGCCAATAACCACTGGCACCAGCGGTGAGTGACATCCCAACTGATCCTGGATGTCCCCGCAACTTCCATGACACATGATTTGCCATGCTGGTCGAACAACCCCTATCACCCACACAACGTGGGGAGGCATTCACCCAGCAGTGGATGAACAAAGCGCTGCAAATTATTTTTGTTTGTAATAACTATCATTTAATGTTAATTGCGCACGCGCACACACGCATTTGCTGCATGTGCAGCACATAGCATTATCACACAAACACCGCAAACACGATCGATACATGCAGCCCTCAAAATGTTAGGTTGAACAAAAATCTAAACCTTGACTTAAAGCTTTCGTGACTGCAGGAATTCATACTCTTTGGGTCTTACTGTAAAGTCACGTACAGTGAGGGAAAAAACGTATTTGATCCCCTGCTGATTTTGTACGTTTGCCCACTGACAAAGAAATGATCAGTCTATAATTTTAATGGTAGGTTTATTTGAACAGTGAGAGACAGAATAACAACAAAAACATCCAGAAAACGCATGTCCAAAATGTTATAAATTGATTTGCATTTTAATGAGGGAAATAAGTATTTGACCCCCTCTCAATCAGAAAGATTTATGGCTCCCAGGTGTCTTTTATACAGGTAACAAGCTGAGAATAGGAGCACACTCTTAAAGGGAGTGCTCCTAATCTCAGCTTGTTACCTGTATAAAAGACACCTGTTCACAGAAACAATCAATCAATCAGATTCCAAACTCTCCACCATGGCCAAGACCAAAGAGCTCTCCAAGAATGTCAGGGACAAGATTGTAGACCTACACAAGGCTGGAATGGGCTACAAGACCATCGCCAAGCAGCTTGGTGAGAAGGTGACAACAGTTGGTGCGATTATTCGCAAATGGAAGAAACACAAAAGAACCGTCAATCTCCCTCGGCCTGGGGCTCCATGCAAGATCTCACCTCGTGGAGTTGCAATGATCATGAGAACGATGAGGAATTAGCCCAGAACTACACGGGAGGATCTTGTCAATGATCTCAAGGCAGCTGGGACCATAGTCACCAAGAAAACAGTTGGTAACACACTACTCCGTGAAGGACTGAAATCCTGCAGTGCCCGCAAGGTCTCCCTGCTCAAGAAAGCACATATACATGACCGTCTGAAGTTTGCCAATGATTCAGAGGACAACTGGATGAAAGTGTTGTGGTCAGATGAGACCAAAATGGAGCTCTTTGATATCAACTCAACTCGCCGTGTTTGGAGGAGGAGGAATGCTGCCTATGACCCCAAGAACACCATCCCCACCGTCAAAAATGGAGGTGGAAACATGCTTTGGGGGTGTTTTTCTGCTAAGGGGACAGGACAACTTCACCGCATAAATGGGACGATGGACGGGGCCATGTACCGTCAAATCTTGGGTGAGAACCTCCTTCCCTCAGCCAGGGCATTGAAAATGGGTCGTGGATGGGTATTCCAGCATGACAATGACCCAAAACACACGGCCAAGGCAACAAAGGAGTGGCTCAAGAAGAAGCACATTAAGGTCCTGGAGTGGCTTAGCCAGTCTCCAGACCTTAATCCCATAGAAAATCTGTGGAGAGAGCTGAAGGTTCGAGTTGCCAAACGTCAGCCTCGAAACCTTAATGACTTGGAAAAGATCTGCAAAGAGGAGTGGGACAAAATCTCTCCTGAGATGTGTGCAAACCTGGTGGCCAACTACAAGAAACGTCTGACCTCTGTGATTGCCAAGAAGGGTTTTGCCACCAAGTACTAAGTCATGTTTTGCAGAGGGGTCAAATACTTATTTCCCTCATTGAAATGCAAATAAATTTATAACATATTTGACATGCGTTTTTCTGTTCAAATAAACCTACCATCAAAATGATAGACTGATCATTTCTTTGTCAGTGGGCAAACGTACAAAATCAGCAGGGGATCAAATACTTTTTTCCCTCACTGTAGATAGAAAAATAATAAAATAATAACAATTTACTTATTTATATCTACGTTACTTTACCGAAAGACCCAAAGAGCAAAAATCTAAACTTCAACATACTGGGAACAACCACCGACTCTCAAACTCTGTCGTGAACATTTTAAATTACCCAAGCACCCAGAGCGCTAGAGAAAGTGAAGGACAGACTTTAATGCACTCAGCTAAATGGCAACCCCCTCACCCCCGCCGCCTTGCACACGAGCCACTGCAATAACCTTGCCTACCCCACAGGACGGCTTGGCCACCGCAGTGTGCCCCTACTGTGGCCGCTTTGGGGAATGTCCCACGCACGTGCTATTTACCGCTCGCAGCTGGGCAACAACTTCTCCAGCGAGACTACAGCTGCTGCTGCTTGTTCACGAAGCCTGGAACAAAAACAAACACACAAACACGAGCGTTCTGTTAATTTAGCCACAAGTACCAGCACGGCATAGCTCTTCCGTGTACCCAAAACGACACTGGGCATCCGCAGCAAATGGCCACTTCTGTGACATCAGCCTCGCTGAAAAGCACAGGTTAGGTTAATAATACACTTGACTTTTAAACCCCAATCATAAGAGACAGATAACGGACGTCCTTATCTATAGCTAGGCAGTCAATCAATAATCAGCTCCCCAAACGTTCCGTCAACACTGCTTACCGAAAAATGTATTTTGAACTTGCGGAGAGTTCTTATTTTATTTCATCCTTCCACCGCTGCGCTGCAATTCAAAAAAAATTAAGAAGTAAAAATCGCTCTCCTGGGCACGTACGATGCAGCACTTATTACCGACCTGCGGAGTGTTTGCGCCGCCGTGGCAAGTTTGCGGTGGAGCGGGCGAGGCGCGCAACACGGATTGAGATGCGTCCCGTCCGCTCGCTCGAGTTCCCTTGCCGGCTCTCGGGTTAACGAGCACTCACGTCGCACGCTAACACGCCCCCCCCCCTCCCCTCTTGAGAGACATGCACGCGGCTGCGCTAGCCCCACTCGCTCGCAGATGAGAGGAGCACGGCTCGGGGATGGGACGGCGGTCGTTCTATTCCGTGCCCCCCATTGCGCAGGAAGTGTGTAATTATGGCACGTCTCTTTTGGTAAACATTTGGCCCGAGGACGGTGTGGCGCGTCTTGCAGTGTCGTGTCACGAAAGCCAGCGGTCTGGCCACCGATTGTGACAATGTTCGCAGCATGCCGAGGCAGGATAACGCTTTTATTTATTTTTTGGGAGCGATTTGAGATGTTACAAAACTTGTTTAACAAGCGTGGTGCCCCCCACCCCCCGCTCCGATTTGGAAATTTTAACAATTGTAATTTACATTTCGTGACACACTTGGTGAGCAGCAGAGGGCAGTGCAGTAAAATCCATTGCTGTGATAAACTTCTATGCTCCCACCTCTACATCCGCCACCTTGTTCACCCAGCAATTGCTAGACGTGGTGCAGTACAATCCAATAACACCCACGAGCCCACACGGTGTGTGGAGGTGATCATCCAGCAGTAGATTCAAAGAAGGGCTGATTGTATATGTACAAGAGGCACGAGTGTGTTTGACTCTAGGATTTCCCGATTACCTGCACTTTGCCTGTTACAGTGCACAGAAATGGTATTAAGTGACAAAACAGAGCAAACAAACAGGTGCCTCATCATATCATACACCCAGTCTGGTTGTACTACTGATTACGTTACGTAACACAAATTGGGCTTAGTAATAAACATTTTAACACCCTTTCCGCTAAACAGAAAACAATGCTGAGAAGCATTATTCTACGTCAATCAGCATGCAGGGATGTACATCACACTCCAGTTTTGCTTTTACGTCTTAATCCAAACTTCCGTACAATTGAAATCGTTCATTTTATCAGCAAAAGAAGCCACGCCGAGTCTCTCTGGTCCCGCTTTCAGTTCACGAAAAGTGCTTAGGCATGTGGGTGGGAAACTAGCATGGGGGGGGGGCACACAAACCAACTCCCCACACCCTGCTTACTACTGCCCAGGTATTACGAACACACACCCCACGCCCTGCTTACTACTGCCCAGGTATGACGAACACGCACCCCACGCCCTGCTTACTACTGCCCAGGTATTACGAACACACACCCCACGCCCTGCTTACTACTGCCCAGGTATGACGAACACGCACCTCACACCCTGCTTACTACTGCCCAGGTATGACGAACACGCACCCCACACCCTGCTTACTACTGCCCAGGTATGACGAACACACACCCCACGCCCTGCTTACTACTGCCCAGGTATGACGAACACGCACCTCACACCCTGCTTACTACTGCCCAGGTATGACGAACACGCACCCCACACCCTGCTTACTACTGCCCAGGTATGACGAACACGCACCCCACACCCTGCTTACTACTGCCCAGGTATGACGAACACGCCCCCCACACCCTGCTTACTACTGCCCAGGAATTACGAACACACACCCCACGCCCTGCTTACTACTGCCCAGGTATGACGAACACGCCCCCCACACCCTGCTTACTACTGCCCAGGTATTACGAACACACACCCCACGCCCTGCTTACTACTGCCCAGGTATGACGAACACGCCCCCCACACCCTGCTTACTACTGCCCAGGAATTACGAACACACACCCCACGCCCTGCTTACTACTGCCCAGGTATGACGAACACGCCCCCCACACCCTGCTTACTACTGCCCAGGTATTACGAACACACACCCCACGCCCTGCTTACTACTGCCCAGGTATGACGAACACGCCCCCCACACCCTGCTTACTACTGCCCAGGTATTACGAACACACACCCCACGCCCTGCTTACTACTGCCCAGGTATGACGAACACGCCCCCCACACCCTGCTTACTACTGCCCAGGTATTACGAACACACACCCCACGCCCTGCTTACTACTGCCCAGGTATTACGAACACGCACCCCACACCCTGCTTACTACTGCCCAGGTATTACGAACACGCACCCCACACCCTGCTTACTACTGCCCAGGTATGACGAACACGCATCCCACACCCTGCTTACTACTGCCCAGGTATGACGAACACACACCCCACACCCTGCTTACTACTGCCCAGGTATTACGAACACGCACCCCACACCCTGCTTACTACTGCCCAGGTATTACGAACACGCACCCCACACCCTGCTTACTACTGCCCAGGTATGACGAACACGCACCCCACACCCTGCTTACTACTGCCCAGGTATTACGAACACGCACCCCACACCCTGCTTACTACTGCCCAGGTATGACGAACACACACCCAACACCCTGCTTACTACTGCCCAGGTATTACGAACACGCACCCCACACCCTGCTTACTACTGCCCAGGTATTACGAACACACACCCCACGCCCTGCTTACTACTGCCCAGGTATTACGAACACACACCCCACGCCCTGCTTACTACTGCCCAGGTATGACGAACACGCACCCCACGCCCTGCTTACTACTGCCCAGGTATTACGAACACACACCTCACACCCTGCTTACTACTGCCCAGGTATTACGAACACGCACCCCACGCCCTGCTTACTACTGGCCAGGTATGACGAACACACACCCTACACCCTGCTTACTACTGCCCAGGTATGACGAACACGCACCTCACACCCTGCTTACTACTGCCCAGGTATGACGAACACGCACCTCACACCCTGCTTACTACTGCCCAGGTATGACGAACACACACCCTACACCCTGCTTACTACTGCCCAGGTATGACGAACACGCACCTCACACCCTGCTTACTACTGCCCAGGTATTACGAACACGCACCCCACGCCCTGCTTACTACTGCCCAGGTATGACGAACACGCACCCCACGCCCTGCTTACTACTGCCCAGGTATGACGAACACACACCCTACACCCTGCTTACTAGTGCCCAGGTATGACGAACACGCACCCCACGCCCTGCTTACTACTGCCCAGGTATGACGAACACGCACCCTACACCCTGCTTACTAGTGCCCAGGTATGACGAACACGCACCCCACGCCCTGCTTACTACTGCCCAGGTATGACGAACACGCACCCCATGCCCTGCTTACTACTGCCCAGGTATTACGAACACGCACCCCACACCCTGCTTACTACTGCCCAGGTATTACGAACACGCACCCCACGCCCTGCTTACTACTGCCCAGGTATTACGAACACGCACCCCACACCCTGCTTACTACTGCCCAGGTATGACGAACACGCACCCCACGCCCTGCTTACTACTGCCCAGGTATTACAAACACGCACCCACACCCTGCTTACTACTGCCCAGGTATTACGAACACGCACCCCACGCCCTGCTTACTACTGCCCAGGTATTACAAACACGCACCCCACACCCTGCTTACTACTGCCCAGGTATGACGAACACGCACCCCACGCCCTGCTTACTACTGCCCAGGTATGACGAACACACACCCCACACCCTGCTTACTACTGCCCAGGTATGACGAACACGCACCCCACGCCCTGCTTACTACTGCCCAGGTATTACAAACACGCACCCCACGCCCTGCTTACTACTGCCCAGGTATTACAAACACGCACCCCACACCCTGCTTACTACTGCCCAGGTATGACGAACACGCACCCCACGCCCTGCTTACTACTGCCCAGGTATGACGAACACACACCCCACGCCCTGCTTACTACTGCCCAGGTATGACGAACACACACCCTACACCCTGCTTACTACTGCCCAGGTATGACGAACACGCACCTCACACCCTGCTTACTACTGCCCAGGTATTACGAACACGCACCCCACGCCCTGCTTACTACTGCCCAGGTATGACGAACACACACCCTACATCCTGCTTACTACTGCCCAGGTATGACGAACACGCACCTCACACTCTGCTTACTACTGCCCAGGTATTACGAACACGCACCCCACGCCCTGCTTACTACTGCCCAGGTATGACGAACACACACCCTACACCCTGCTTACTAGTGCCCAGGTATGACGAACACGCACCCCACGCCCTGCTTACTACTGCCCAGGTATGACGAACACGCACCCCATGCCCTGCTTACTACTGCCCAGGTATTACGAACACGCACCCCACACCCTGCTTACTACTGCCCAGGTATTACGAACACGCACCCCACGCCCTGCTTACTACTGCCCAGGTATTACGAACACGCACCCCACACCCTGCTTACTACTGCCCAGGTATGACGAACACGCACCCCACGCCCTGCTTACTACTGCCCAGGTATTACAAACACGCACCCACACCCTGCTTACTACTGCCCAGGTATTACGAACACGCACCCCACGCCCTGCTTACTACTGCCCAGGTATTACAAACACGCACCCCACACCCTGCTTACTACTGCCCAGGTATGACGAACACGCACCCCACGCCCTGCTTACTACTGCCCAGGTATGACGAACACACACCCCACACCCTGCTTACTACTGCCCATGTATGACGAACACGCACCCCACACCCTGCTTACTACTGCCCAGGTATGACGAACACACCCCACACCCTGCTTACTACTGCCCAGGTATGACGAACACGCACCCCACACCCTGCTTACTACTGCCCAGGTATTACGAACACGCACCCCACGCCCTGCTTACTACTGCCCAGGTATGACGAACACGCACCCCACGCCCTGCTTACTACTGCCCAGGTATGACGAACACGCACCCCACACCCTGCTTACTACTGCCCAGGTATTACGAACACACACCCCACGCCCTGCTTACTAC